TTATTGTTATTGTTGTACGAGTTTGGTTGGTTATAAGGTCCTCGTCTTGGTCCTTGTTGTCTGTGTTGGTTGTTATTGTTGTACTTGTTGTAATTATTTTGGAATGTGTCCCTGCGTTTATCTTGGTGATACGCATTTTGTTCGAAGATAGCTAAGTCAAAGGCTTCGTCTAAGTTAGTACGTCTCGCCGATCTAACGAAGTTTCTTAGTGGTCCTTTCAATCCTTTAATAAAAGTGTTGAGACACAGTGTCGTATAAAATTCTTTTTTCTCACCTATCGTTTGGACCGATAATTCTTTATTATCTGCTATGCTGAAAAGAGCTCTTTTGGATTCGAGTATTGAGTCGTATAGTTGTGTAATAGTCAGATTTTTAAATGGGATATCATGTAACTGTTCTATATTAGTTTTTTAGTCAACACTTTCTTCATTTCATCCCAATTAAGGGGAGTGTCTGCCTGATCCAATATTTCGCTAGCTCGTCTCTCTATTTTATTCCTGATTGCTCTCAAAAGGAGTTGTCCCCTGGGCGTTTGATCGCTTCCTCTGATGACCATAGGGATCATTTCAACGTTAGCTATAAAACGTTTTAAAGAGTTTGGGTTTCCCTTCGAAAACCGGGAGGCATTTAATAGCGCCCGGGACGTCTAAACATGCTTCCTGTGAGCTTGTTCCTGACAGTTTAGCTACTCCGTTGATCGTCATTTCTGTCCTTTGTGTTGGTTTATGTGTTAGTGTGGGTGTATTAATGTTTTCGATAGGTTTGGGGATGGTAGTATTATTTTGTCTAACCTGGCTTCTAGTAAGAGTACTCAAGATGGATATTTATTTTTCCCCGATTTGAACATTTAATTTATGCTGTGTATTTATTCTTAATATGTATATTGGCATGCGACTTAGTATTAGTGTCTCCAGATTACGTAGGTACTGATAACTCAATATATATTATTGTTTTTGTTTGTTTTTCTGGTGGGGATTATTTTTAAAAGTGTCTGTAATTGATATAATCGCAATATTATTATATGATTGAAATTCGAGAGTTATTTTACTTAATATTATTTAATACGAATGTTACGTATTCTAAGTGTTCTTTGTTATTATTATTTTTTTTCTTATATATTTTTATTTTTTTTTGTGTGTTTCGTTTGTAGGAATAGTTAATATGTCCTATTGTTTGATGTACGATACCCTAACAATTGTCTTCAACAAGTTTCGGTGAACGATTCGAACAATTTTCGCGTCCAACAAGTTGATTTCGACCATCAATGCCCTATAAGAATATGATCTTTATCGAGTTTCAATGACTTACTCGAACGGTACGTTCGCGTCCAACAAGTTGATTGTGACCATCACTTATCTATCGAGGCATAAGCTTGAAAGTATCAAACACTTCTTCGTATAAACAGTATAAACCAACTCGCTTGCAACTTTTCTCACCTTATGCCACGTTACTAAGTTTAGGACACCTCTCGCTGCCACATAATTGTTATTTTATATAAAAAATAGAATGACAACTGTCGTAGTTGGTGTACATGCTTCACTGAGTTATATACTGATACATTGAATATGTTGTATTTTTCTATTTTTTTTTTATATGTTTAATTATTCTCGTATACACATGTCTACAATACTTTTCCTCCTTTTTCATCACTCTTCTCTCGTCTCCCTTGCATTTTTATTTTGTTTTACATCATTTTTGTGTATATGAAAGGTGTGTTTGTGTTTTTTAATATATAATTGGTCAACTCACAGGCTGAATAATATCACTAACCAAATAGAATATAGACTGACAAACAGTACAATTTGATGGGGACAAGCGTCTTACTTGTCTTACTCTTATCGATATGATTTATGCGATAGAACAACTTCGCTGTTTTTTATCTCTGTTATCTATTTATCTACAAGAAACTGCTTACTCTCAGTGCTTTTTCAATTTGTCTATGTACCGCTTAAATGTTTGTGTGTGTATGTATCCGCACAAGCAAAAATACCCACAAATTCAATGGGGCATGTCTCGAACCCGAGCAAAAACGAAGGCGACTTTGGACCAGCCGCACTTCGAACGCTTGTCCCCATCAAATTGTACTGTGGGTCCAGTCTATATTCTATTTGGTTAGTGAAAATATGCACTTAAAGAGCACGGTTCTTCTCGTCGAATCATGATTGGAATGACAAGTCTTCGACATCTCTCGACTGCGCCGGTTACCAGCGTGGCCCTCGGTAACTAAGGATGTGGTAATAATCGGAGGCGTGCGATAATATGCAAACACCCACAAATAGTTTTGGTGTAGTTATGTTTTAAGTTGATTATGTGTTTAAAATGGTTTGGAATTAAAAAAAAACTGAAGTGGACTGCTTGAAGTTCGTACAAAGAATAATTTTATCTTTATTTCTATACATTATAAGAAACCTGCTGCATACAAAGTTCGGTCAACATGTATAGCTACATGAGTCCGAGAATATGCTGTTGTAGCGGTTTCTTGTGGCTAGCACTCGAAATGTCGCAACGGCACTTCCTCATAGAATGCTTAGTGTTCAATTTAAAATGAAATTTGGAATGTGTTACAATAAACTGTTGCCCTTTTAACGTGGGTAACGAGAGAGAGGCATGTGTTTATAAACATTTGAGTACGCGACGGTTGTCGACGGGAAATGTGTATAGTTAGCTGAATCTAGGCGGCTTCGGTGGCAGTATCGACTGTGACATGCCCTGGATGGTCGAAACGGTAACTCCCGCGCAGATCGAGTTTGTTTCCGATATTCGATCACTTTCCCCGTCTCCAAGTAATCGATAAAAATCGACATCGAAATCAATTTTTGAACAATTTTGGTAAATAATAAGAGCTAGAGTCACCAAACTTAACATATATCTTCTAGATATGAATTATCTTTTTTTATAGCTATCACCACCTCCCCGCTACAAACTAATAGATATGCATCAAGTAAATAAACCAATTTATGCTGCCCACCAATATAAGCCACAATTTAAATGCAATTGTCTGCTGAAAATTTAATCAAGATTGGTTAAGAAACACGAAAGAAAATGTGTTTTGGCTGCCCACGTATTTGCGGCAGCTAGCACAAATCGCAATAATTTCTGTATACATGTACACACACACATTCATGTGCGTCTGCTTTGAATCCTATGAACAGCAATATTTTTTTCTGTGCTGCTATTTGAATTCGTTTTTTCTCATTAAAACTCTATAATTGGTGTAGCCGTTGGGTAGAGGCGGCGGCAGGTATTGCGGTCTGTTCCAAGTTCGAACCCTACTGAGGAAACTATTTATTTTTATTTTTTGGCTGGTGTGGCTGTTGAGTAGAGGCTGCGGCAAGTAGTGCGGTTAGTTGCAAGTTCGAACCTTGCCATGGGAACTTTTTTTTTAATTTATCTTTTTTACTACTAGAGCTAACAAACGCGTAGCGGGAGCTGTATTGGAATAAGAGTGTTCAAGGCATCCTCTAGTCGGGAGCTCCCGACTTGAACCTCTTTTTTTATTATATTTTTATTGCTACTAAATAAACGCGCTCGTAGCGCGAGCTGCATTTAGTTGGGAACGTCCGACTAGAGCCTCTTATTTGTTTTAGTACGAAATATATTAAATTAAGCTATTTTCCACTGCAACGAAATATTTTATTTAGATATATTTGACTGAGGTTATCCAATTTGGAACGGATATCAGTCCATTCCCCAGTGAACCCGGATTGATTCATCTGCTATGACATCTCCATGTATATGTTGGTATTTTTCCGCCTACTTCGCAAGGCACGACGCATAAAGTATTCTTTTTGCCATCTAAAAAAATACACATACATATGTATATTAATTAAATTGAAAGCTATACTACATTGTCTGCAATACTTGTTCGCTGGTCGGACATTTCAAATAAATTTTTCAACTTGTTTTCACATTTGCTACTACTTTCGTAGTGAATGGGATTTTCCTTTTGGGATTTACTTAAAACTATCGGCTGAATGGAACAGTCTAGGATAGAAACATCTCTAAGAGATGTTTAAAACAAAGGGATTATGATGGCACGGCAAAACCTTACTAAGCATCTTAAGTAAGGATGCTTAATGTTAATTGCTGCTTAGTGCGAATTGACTATAGTCACTAACCATACAATATATAGATGCTTCAAATGTTAAAATAATCGAAACAAGAATTTTTAATGAGAATACCAGGAGTGGTTGTGACCAATTTGTTATGCCCAGAGAGAGTAAGACTGCTGAGAGTGGCAGTCGATAGGCGAGAGCGCTGAACGATCAGTATGAAGCCGTATCTCGCTCAGCGCTCAATATCGTTGCGGCTGATGCTTTTTCTTTATATATGTGTGTTAGTTTTTAACGCCTGATAGCCCAAAAACATATGTGTGTATGCATGTGCAGTGTGTGCCTCGCTCTTACTCATTACTTTGTGCACTTGTCTGCATCTTATTCTCCCTGCTTAGCTTTTCAAAAAAACCCGATATCTACAAACATACATATTTATGTTTGTGTTATGTGGCGTCACGGCGTTTGTCGCGACCCAGAGATTTTTTCTTCGATTATGTGCCTTTTGTGCCTGTGGTAGCAAAAGGCACATATATTCAAATAATCTATTATGAATTTTTTCATCCAGTCTGGCATAATGAGAAGAATCTGATTTGTTTATATTTAATAAAAACTTAAATGACCTTAACGAAATATTTATATTCTATATATATATATTATAAGTTTGTTGTTTGCTTTGGGGAGGCTGTGATATAAGGCTTCCTAACACATTTATCTTCAAATTGGTTTAATAAATTGTTTTAAATTAAAATTTATTTGGTTTTGGGTTTTTAAAAACATATATAAATGCATTAAAAACTGAGTGTTTCCGGCTCCGAAATCAAGTTCCAAAATCGCTGCTAGCTCACCTTTGCTAATTTGACGAAAGTCACATTTTGTTCGTTTAGTTTAGTGAGTAGTTCAAACGGAATTTTGGAGAACGATTTTATACAATATATACATGTATGTACTTGTTGTCTTCGAGAACATTTAGGATGTCCAGATTATTATATATGCCTTTTATAAAACCTAATTGGCGAATCTCTACGTCAATAAAGCTTGGAAATTACATAAACTCTCGGTTAGCCCCTTCAGATTGTATATTATCCCGCGACATTAGCTTTTTTAACAAATGTAAGTACATAGTTAACATACATACATACATAAGTATGCATATTATTTATACGTATGAATACATAAAATTGTTAATGCATATGTACCGAAAAATATATACTGTGCTAACTATGTATGTACAGCGGGGAGCAAAAGTGTTTCCATAGTTGACACTTTGAACTTTGTGAGTCAATAATATCCAAACGAATGAAGCAAATCAAAACAACTTTTTTTTCCAATAATATGTATTTAATTCTTAACAAATTGGCGTATATAACAAAAACACAAAAAAATCAGCAAAATATTCAAACAAAAAAAACTAAAACAAAACGCATGTGTACAATTTTGCACCCTCCGTTATTCTTACTTTGGTTTGATTTCTTAATTCTCTTATCGGCAATAGACATGCAGTTTCACCTTTATATGTTTTATTTTTGCATTCTACACTTTTATGATCCAGAAAATCACGTGTTTCTTATTATTCGAAGCAGATTTGTTGATTTTAGCAATTAGTCTATAAAGTACCTCGAAAAAATGAAGAAGCTTTCGTCAGATGTCGAAAATAGTATTATTAGCCTAACTGAAAGTGGCTGTTCGACTCGTAGTATTGCAGATCAGCTTAATATTTCTCATTCAGCGGTGTCCAAGGTCCAGAAAAGACGCAATGTTGCATCCAAAAACACTATTAAAGGCCGCAAACGCCTCTTAAAGGACTCTGACGCCAGACTAATGATGTCGAAAATGAGAACTGATAAGTTCCTAACACCGAAGAAGGCATCTATGGACATAGGAAAAGACGTGAGTCGGTGGACGGCTAGAAGAGCACTAGCTAAGGTTGGATATGTGGCAAGTGTGAAAAAAAATAAACCAGCTCTATCCGAGAAGAATGTCAAGGCTCGATTGAAATTCGCCCGGGAACACAAGAACTGGACTGTAGATGATTGGAAACGTGTCATCTGGTCGGATGAATCCAAGTTCAACCGTTTTCAGTCGGATGGCAAGCAATACTATTGGCACAGGCCCGGGGACAAGCTTCAAAAACACCAAGTGAAGCAAACCGTTAAGCATGGAGGAGGTATTGTCAAAGTTTGGGGATGCTTTACTTGGTGGCACATTGGACCATTACATAAAATTGATGGTATAATGCTTAAAGAAGACTATCTCAATATTTTGCAAACCTATCTACCCAATTTTCTGGACAAGTGTGCATACCCTGTAAAGAAAATCATTTTTCAACAAGATGGGAACCCGAAGCACACTGCCAAAATTGTCCGCGAATGGTTACAAAAGCAAGATTTTATGCTAATGGAGTGGTCAGCTCAAAGTCCCCGAACTGGAGTGGAAACGAGTTCGAAAGGAAACCATAGAGAAGTTGGTCGATAGTATGCCAAACCGAATAAAAAGTGCAATAGCTAATAAGGGTCTGTGGACAAAATATTAATTTTGAATCATATTCAATTTTTTTTATTTTCTGGATCATAAAAGTGTAGAATGCAAAAATAAAAGATATAAAGGTGAAACTGCATGTCTATTGCCGATAAGAGAATTAAGAAATCAAACCAAAGTAAGAAAAACGGAGGGTGCAAAATTGTACACATGCGTTTTGTTTTAGTTTTTTTTGTTTGAATATTTTGCTGATTTATTTATGTTTTTGTTATATACGCCAATTTCTTAAGAATTAAATACATATTATTGGAAAAAAAAGTTTTTTTGATTTGCTTCATTCGTTTGAATATTATTGACTCACAAAGTTCAAAGTGTCAACTATGGAAACACTTTTGCTCCCTACTGTATATGTCGAAATCGTTGGCTGCAGAATCCTTAGTATATTTAGGCACGTCCTTAGGATTTTTAAAACCTTCCAACGCTTATTACGTTTTTCATATACATATTAACTAGCTGTTTAGAAATTCCTCTAATAGTGCAGTGAAAAGTGAACATACATGTATAGAATTTTGTGTTTTCATGCTCAAATAAAAAAACAAAAATTAATTTTCAGGCACAGCAAGAAAAGATAAGCGAAGTTATGTTTATAGTGCTTAATTACATACTATGCAAGATAGTTGCATAATATAGTCATTCTATTTCGCCGCCGATTCCATTTGTATTGTACACAACAAAATGGCTGCCTACATGACGATTCCTTGAAAATTGACAAACTTGGTACAAAACGGCACCAAAAGCTCTTACGGTTTGGGCTGTACATTGATCACCAATCAGTCAGGACAAACATATATTCTGTGCTGTGTGCAATAAAGCATATGCTTGGTGAGCATCAATAGTCGAGTTGATCTAGCCATACCCGTCTGTCCGTAGGTATAAACGCGTCGACCACGGAATCTATAAAGGAAATACGCATTGCCCCATTTTCAAGCAATCGTTAAAAAACGAGATCGAAATCCTGTTTTTTGAGCAGATTTGGTAAATAATAAGAGCTAGAGTCACCAAGTTTGACATGTAGCTTCTAGAATAATATATATATGTATATCGTATCTCTCATTTTATAGCTATCACCACCTCCCCGCTACTACCTCATAGCTATAAATTAAGTAAATAAACCAATTTCTGCTGCCCACCAATATAAGCCACAATTTAAAGGCAATTGTCATTTTGAGAATACACAAATATTTTATAGTACAATAAGACTTACTGCTGAAAATTTCATCAAGATCGGTTATGAAACACAAACGAAAATGTGTTTTGGTTGCTCACGTGTTTGCGGCAGCTAGAGCAATACATGTACAGACGCACATTTATGTCCGGCGGCGGCAAGTATTGCGGTTAGTTGCGAGTTCGAACCCTGCCAAAGGAACATTTTTTTAAATTTATCTATATTACGAATAAAGCAAACGAGCGCGTAGCGCGAGCTGCATTTGGTGTTGGAATAAGAGGGTATCAGGGTATCCCCTAGTCTGGAGCGCCCGACTAGAACCTCTTACTGGTTTTTATTTTTATTAATACAAAGGCAAAGGACCGTGTAGCGCAAGCTGCGTTCGGCGTACTCTTGTTTTCACTATGTTGCTGAAACCACGCAACTCATGTTCCTGCTTACAATTTTAGCGTACAGTTGTAATATCGCACTTGTATAACTTGGAGCAAAAATATTAATGACAATTGAAAGGCATTTTTTGCTAGATATGTACAATAAATTTTTATTAATATCAGTCCAGTGGTTTAGGTATGACGAGGTTTTATAGACATCTGCGGTAAAGAAAACAATTCCACTTGTGCGTATATATTGTGATCACAGTAAGATGGGAGAATATATAGGTTCTTAAGCCTCTCTCTTTTTTATTGCTATATATAGTTTTGTTCTAAAAATTTTAGATATCACCTTTCCACTAAGTATACGCCCGTGGAAAATGGAAATCTACCCAACTTGATCCCCAGTCCAATTTAACATTATGTTTTAAGTACATCGAACAAAGAACCAAGGGCTGGAATCAACAGTTTCTGCCCATGTTAGTCTTGCGGTAAGAATCTTGAAGCTGAAGAACTTTCGTTTATTAAGCCTTTGGCCGCATTTGCCACCCAAGAACGTATAAAATAAAATTCTCACAAAGATCAGATAAAATGATTTTGATGCCGATGAGATGGTAAGCAAAATACTTGCATACAACCCTTATTCGCTAATTAATTACTGTTGTGAGTGGAATTTACCAATTTGCTGACAGACGTTTTCATTAAGTTACTATGTAAAGATTTAAAAATACGTTTGAAGAAAATCGGACAAAACCTAAAACTTCGCCCAAAAAATCTTGTAATCGCATTTCCACGGAGAAAGCGTGGATTCCGCAAAATCTTTAACCCCCATTTCCACCGAGGAATGCATTTTTCGAAAAGTGTGAAACACCCCTCAAATGAATTTGAACAAAAATCTTTGGAAATGAGTTTGAAGCCGATCGAATGGTAAACAGAAATATTTCATAAAAACGCTTTTCGCGATTTTTCCACACATGCGGGAGGAACTTCCCAAAACGACATATCCCAGCTCCCTAAATTGGGATGTACGTTGATCACCAATCAGTCAGTCAGGACAAACAGTTTGATATACATATAGAGATCATTGCTTGCATATCAATATTGTTTGATTGCGCTCATTGCTCATCATTAATATATACATTAAATGCATCCCTTTTAATCGGGGTTTTTGTGCAGTATAGGCATTCTTTTGCAACTTGCATTTAAATGTGGTGTATAATATTAATTTTCCCTTACCCATTCCTCTTTGCGATTAGTTGTAATTATATATTTTAAGGAATTTATCTGTTTGTTAAATTTTTAAGCATCATTACAATTTTTATTTAAAATGATTTAAAATTAGACGATAAAGCCTAAAATGAAATTTTTAATTAAATTTATTAACTACTAGTTTTTCTTTTGTTTCAATTATTTTATTCTCCGCCGGTCGAACTAGCTACCGACGTATTTAATTTACCCTATTTGTATTTTTTGGCACCCTATTTTTTTTTTAATAAAATAAAAATAATAATAAATAATGATGCATTTAGTTTAAAGAAATAATATCAATATTTGCATCGACTTTAAAAAACGGATTATCTACAGAGCCAACCTCAGTACACAACATGCATTCATATGTGAACACAAATTTTGGATTGATCAGGCATGATCAGCGCTAGAAAACTAAGAAAATGTATTTCTTCACCAGCGAAAGCCAGATCAGTGAATAACAACACATTCAAATATGCTGTTATGTAAGTATACGCACATACAAACATAATTGCTTGCTCGGCTCTCATAGAGCCGAAGCTCAGAATACATTCTATTTTTAGCTTTTCAATGATACTGATTTCATATTCGTTCTCAAATTTCAAAAAACAAGCTGCATAGTAGCATTTTGTTATATGGAGTTACTCATCTTAGTTTTTATATTGTCTTTAGTATAACCGTAACCTGTTCTGAAATTATGGAAGTCTTAAATAGGGCTTACGCTAACTCTCTACCTGATATATAGACGTCGTGAAATATAATAACAATCCTTTTCATTTAGTTTTAAATTT